CTGGTTCGCCTTCTCCTGGCATTGTGCGTTCACTGCCATTCAGCAGGCTGGAGAAGTGTTCCCTCCATAATTTAAGTATGCTCTTGACATCGGGGACTAGATCACATCTGGGGGTTCTAAAAGAGTATGCTCCGGTCTTGAAACCTTCTGTAAGCCGCCGCATTTTTTCGTAGAATTTTCGAGCATTACCCCTGCGGGAAAGCTTATCAAGCTCTTCGTACTCAAGTATTTCGGCCTGCTTTTTTTTTTTTTGGTCTGCAAATGCGCTTCGCTTCCCTCTTCAACTCTCGTTATCTGTTGTAGTCAATCGTAACGTTGAGAGGTAGGCAACCTGTTATCTGATTGCAGCCTGGGGAAGAGGAAGACTTCAACTCCGTTTTAAGGACTAGGTGGAGAAGGACTTGGCTACGCTTGAAATCTCCAATTGGCGCCACGTAGCGAAAAGAAGAAACGACTGGCGCGCTGTTGTTAACTCGGTTATAATCGCGTAAGCGGTGTCTACGCAATTAAGAAAGAAGACAATATAAACAATGGATTGAATATTAAGATTTTCGAACTTCCAAGAGACCTTGCGCTGAAAATATGAGCCAACATTTGAGTTATTCCAATGAAAATTACAAAACATGTTTTACTTATAACAGCAAATTTTTTTCCTTAAAATAGATACAATTAGGCGAAAACTTGTTCTAGCCCTCATATAACTAGCATATATCAGGACTTTCGAGCATCTGACTGACTTTACTCCGTGAGATTTGTATGCGAGGTACATTCTTCAATGTCATAGTATCAGTTAATAGATAAAATCGGTTCGGTACTACCATAACTCCCATATACGACGTGCAATGATTTTCGCTTATCTAACAAATCTTATGCCGAAATTCTCGGTCAGTGTATGCATAAGTTATATAGAATATATATGTACTATACAAGTTGCAAGAGTATAAAATGTTCGGTTGCACCCGAACTTAGCACTTTCTTACCTGTCTCATTCAAATTTCTTAACTATTCCGGCCGCAATCGACAGCTGTATTTTCTGATTCCTATTTTAAAATATTTTTAGGATTCTAAACAAACAAATAAATTTTTTTCTTTATTAATATACAATTTTTACAGAATTAATATTCATTGTATTATTCTAATAATTACTATTAACAAAATTATAGTTTAACGTAAATATTTAATACAAATATATTTTATATCTTAAAGGGAGAAAAAGATTAACTATATAAAAATGATAATAATATCTAAAAGAAAAGAATAATATTATCGGATAATTTAAAATATAAAGCAAACATTTGTTTTCACATATTATATCGAATTGTGTAGATCGCCTAAATGCATAAAACACATGCATATGTATGTATGTATGTAATTATTTTCGCGTATTATGTTGGACTTAACATTTAGCTTAACATATAGAAAGCTACATACTTCAAGCGACATCTGCATAATTTTAAAATACACATTCTTATGGACAGAGTTATTCAGACAGCTGCACGACTACATAACTGTGTCTATAAGAACGTATGTATTTTAACATTTGACAGATGTCGCTTGAAGTCTGTCGCTCTCTATCAGTTCAACACAACACACTTATTTTCATATATTTACTTATATTTGTGCTTCTGATGATATTGCTGCCGCTGATATTTCAAATTCTGTCCTGATTTCCAATGCTATAGAAACAAACGAAGTAATTATTTGCAAAGTATTGTTAAATAATCACATAAAATGTATCCACTTAGCTTCTTGTTATACGAGCGCGAATGACATGCATCTTTTTATGGTTATTTTGTTATAACCTTTTTGGGATTTTCTTTTCACTATTGACAATATTGGTCTCTTATGTCGCTCATTATCGACGAATTCTCTTTTGGTATCTATTTGTGCGTTCACACGATAGAAAATTTTTCGCAAATGTTTGTGCTCGGCTACGCGACACTTAGAAGATTGCATAGTTAATTTTATGTTTGCCTCACATTTGAATAAAAGGAAATACCATGAATGTGGTAGAAGATTATGTATAATACCCGCTATTTATATTTTCAATAAAAATACTTAATTTGGAAATTCCTTATGTATGTATTGAAGCCGCTAATTATATGTTTAAGGCCAAATTTATGACGGGGAATATCCTATTCTTTTGGAGAGTAATAAAAGTCCGCAATTTTGTTTTTCTAAATTGTTTCTAGTTATTATAAAATATTTATGAGTTAATTACATTTCTTGCTTTAGATAAAATGATATTCGAATTGCAGTTAAAACAAATAAAAATGAAAGCGTCTTAATACTTTTATGTAAATGTAAGACAGTAAAAGTAACTTCATTTTTTATTAAAATTAATATGTATATAACACTTAATATTTCTAAAAGTTATTAAATGGTCAGTAGGGTAATCTGGACTGTTTTTAGATATTTTTTTCATAGAAATTTTTATTCTACAATAGAACTTTTTTCACATATCATGAGGTATATCGTGGAGTATAAACAAAATTTTTCCGGAATTTTTTTAATAGGTTGTCGAAAAGGTCTTCCGGTGCCCAACTCTTGATCGATGGTACGGCTGCTACTCTCTTTCAACCAAATCTTCCGGAGCGTGGCGCATCTTCGACCACCTCTACACCAGAACGAAAACGTTGAAACCATCGTTGTGCGGTGGAAATGGAAACTGTATCGGGTCCATAAACTGCAATTTTATTGGCGACTTGAGATGCATTTTTGCCTTTATCGTAGTAGTACTATACAATATGCCGTATTTTCTCTTTATTTTGCTCCACGCTATAACTCACGAACGACTTAAAAGAAACGACAATCAATCAAACACGTATTAGCGCCTGAAATGAGCTTTCCAAAAAGGTATAGCATGACCCGATGCAACGAATAAAACTGGAACTAGGCGCTCTCAGCGCCACTAGCGAAAATACTGCAAGACTTTTTTGACAACCGAATATAACATCTGTCTGATGAATGAGATGCGTTTTTTCACTGGCTCATACGATTTCTCATGTTTGTAGAAATCACAAACACAAACCCAATTTATTCTTAAAAAGTACGTAAATGGTTAACGTCCCTACTAAAATCATGAAAAAATGTTGATAAATAAAAACGTAATTAACGTGTTTTTTTTTTTAATTTTGCCCCATGCTTCTTTATATACATTTTGTCATAACATTGTCAATAAATTATAAATAATTATGAATAGTAGGGAAGTTATTCTGGCGTTTTGTGAACATTTAAAACAAAATTAAGCAAATCGGTTGAGTAGTTCGACCGGAATTATGTTCGCCAGTTTAAAAATATGTGTTTTGAGAAAAACGCGTTTAAAGTTTGAGGTGTGCACTCCGAGCGCTCCGAATGTCGAGCGGTATTATTATTTTTAAGTCTTTTTCGAAAGCTTCCAATGATAAAGTGGGTTTCTTCATTAATTCTTAGGGTATAAAGGAACAGAAAAGACAAAAATAAAAATAAAAATAAATTGAAAAAATATTACCCCACTGACCCCTAAATTTTGACACACATACATTATCATATACTAAACATTGGTAACAAAATTCAAAATAATTTAATTTATTTTTAGGATTTCAAAATAAGAAAGAAAAACTCAGGTGCAGCTGCAGCGTTACAGCATATTATTTAGATATAGATAACTTTTTATTCGCACATATATGTATATCTACAAATAAAATATTGTACGAATTATTTAAACATAAATATGTATATATTTTTTTATTCATACTCAGAAGGAGTGTAAAATGTAAGTAAAATGTGAAAAGAACGTAAGTTTCAAATATGAAAAAATATGTAATAGATAAATATTTATATTTATAATAGATAACTATTGAAATTACATTTCAATAAAATAATAGCAAAATTTCTTTAAAAATATTGAGTTGAACATAACATACGCAGCGGTTTGCGCGTTTCTAGGTTTCCTTTCATACATCACAAATTTGTGAGGAAATTGCGAGTATTTGAGCTTTTGAAATCTTCTTAGCAGAAAATCTTACAATGGTGAGGTTGGTGCATTTTATGAAGACATTAGAATAGTTCTGTCAGTTTACTATTCTATGTGCTTCGTATTTCTATATACACTGAAATTTATTTCGTTTCTTCGATAGACATTGATTTTCACAGTTTTATGAGCAAAGGCTGTGCCAATGGTGAAATTTTTTTCTCTGCTAATTTGGGTTGAAAAATTTCCTATGGCGTAAACGAATTTTACATTGTACTATCAAATAGAAAGTAAAATTTTGACAGTTAAAGTTAAAAAAAATACAATTGCGTTTTTGGAATGTTTCCTTGTTATTTAAAAATATAATCCCAAATTAATTAAATGAAAAACAAAAGCTTTGCTTGTTAATAACAATACTTAATTCATTACTACTGCTAGATTACATATACATACAAACATATAAAACCAGTGGCAATACGACGAATTTACCTACACATCTAAAAAATAAGCATCACCATGCGTTTTTGCGACTTAAAAATAAAAACGCAAGGTCAAGTGAAATGAATATTACACCAAGAACCAGTTCACCCGTTTCGTTTACTAATTCAGCTAGTACCATTACTAATAAACCTGCTGAGATAGAAAATAACCTCATGGAATTGTCTGCATCTGCGATTTACGATGATACCAGTGTAAGTATTTCATTTGTGTAACTTTGTAGCTTTAGAATCTAAATATTTGTTCTTGTTCATAACCAATAAGCAGTCAACTAATAATATGTAATTACATTTTAGTGTTTTCACTTAATACTATTTATGACGACAAGTGTACTGAAATATATATAGGGTGGCTGATGGATTTTGCTACATTAAGAAACTCAAATATTTTTTTTTTTTAGTGTATGGAATTCATTTTTCTTTTATTCATGTTAAAGCTCATTCAATGTTATCAAATATAGTTTAATTAGTTTTAAAAATAATGGAATTTTTAGTTCATAAGTATGTTTTAATTTTATTATTTTTCTCAATTTAGCAGAGGGTCATAAAAAAAGGCAAATAAATCAAGTTTGGTCTACATGATTTGCAAAGACAAAATGCCTCTATCTTCTGTGAAAAAATCAGGATTGATAAGATTGATGAGCGTCATTTGGTTTCATCACGAACTACAGTAAACGAACTATAATATAAAATTACTATATTATCCTTTTTATTTTTAAATGATATTTTATTATTCATTTCTCATTACAGATAGTTGGCTTAATGGAACAACGATATGCCACTACCAAAGCCAMTGTAAAACAAAAATTAAGTGAGATAAATAATAGTGCTTTAACAAGTGATATATTAACTCTTACGAACTCGACATGAAGTTTCATCGCAGTAACAGCGCATTTTCTTAACACTGCAAATAACTGCACTCCTGAATCTGAACATGAGATGGTGATATTGACAGCACGAAGAAAGTATAAGGTAAGTAAAGTATAAAATAAATGCATCAAATAAAAAAAAAAAAAAAAATAGTAAGTTATAAAAAATTTCATAAAGTCGACTAATATTGGTGTTCTTTCCTGCAGTCACACACAGCTGATTATATAAAAGAATGCTTCGAAAATATTACCGACGATTTTTCAATAGAAAAGGATTGCATCTTATCCATTACCACTGATGGTGGTGCTAACATGGTTGCTGCAGTGAAGAAATTTTTGGAATATGGAAAAAGAATTCCTTGCATTTCACATTTGTAGAATTTAATAGTAGATGGCGCAATAGAAGATAATGCACCAGTTCTTCAAGTTGCCAATCATGTCAAAGCCATTGTCACATAATTTAAACAATCTGTGAACGCAATGGATGATTTGCGAGCAGAACAAGAGGGACAAAAAAATGAGGGAGAAGTATTAACACTTATACAATCAGTAAGCACAAGGTTGAAAATGATGATAGATATTGCTGCAGCTTCAGCAAACTGTTTACTTTTAACTTCAACCAGTGATGGTATGCCTAGCGAACTAAAGCAATATCTAGATCAGACTATAATACCCAGAAAAGAGAAAGAGCTCTAAAATATTTGATATCGCCTGGGTCCTCGGTTTCCCCAGAGAGAGTGGCGTCTGCTGTAAATCTCGCAGTACCCAATAACAGAAGTCGGCTGACAGCCGAGCACGTAAATCAAAGAGTTTTTCTTATGTCTGTATCACATAAATATTCTTCTTCTTCTTAATTGGCGTAGAGATCGCTTACGCGATGTCGTTTCTTCTTTTCGCTACCTGGCGCTAATTGGATATTCCAAGCGTAGCCAGGTCCTTCTCCACCTGGTCCTTTCAAGAGAGTGGAGGTCTTCCTCTTYCTCTGCTTCCCCCGGCGGGTACAGCGTGGAATACTTTTAGAGCTGAAGTGTTTTCATCCATTCGGAGAACATGACCTACCTAATATAGCCACTGTCTTTAATTGGCTGAACTATGTCAATGTCGTCATATATCTCATACAGCTCACCGTTCCATCCAATGCGATATTCGCCGTGGCCAACGCGCAACGAACCATAAATCCTTCACAGAACTTTTGTTTCGAAAACTCACAACGTCGACTCATCAGTAGTTGTCATTGTCCAAGCCTCTGCACCATATAGCAGGACGGGAATTATGAGTGACTTATAGAGTTTGGTTTTTGTTCGTCGAGAGAGGACTTTRCTTCTCAATTGCCTACTCAGTCCGAAGTAGCACTTTTTGGTAAGAGTTATCCGGTGTTGGATTTCCGGGCTAACATTGTTGGTGGTATTTACGCTGGTTTCAAGACAGACGAAATTATCTACGACTTCAAAGTTATGACTGTCAACAGTGACGTGAGAGCATAGTCGCTAGTGCGACGACTGTTTGTTTGATGACAGGTGATATGTCATCTTGCCCTCGTTCACTGGCAGACCCATTTGTTTTGCTTCCTTGTCCAGTYTGGAGAAAGCAGAACTAACGGCGTGGGTGTTGAGGCCGATGATATCAATATCATCGGCATACGCCAACAGCTGTACACTCTTATAGAAGATGGTACCTTCTCTATTTAGTTCTGCAGCTCGAACTATTTTCTCCAGAAGCAGGTTGAAAAAGTCCCACGATAAGGAATCGCCTTGTCTGAAACCTCGTTTGGTATCGAACGGCTCGGAGAGGTCCTTCCCGCCTCTGATGAAGCTTTTGGTGCTGCTCAACGTCAGTTTACACAGTCGTATTCGTTTTGCAGGAATACCAAATTCAGACATCGCGGCATAAAGGCAGCTCCTTTTCGTGCTGTTGAAAACAGCTTTGAAATCGGCGAAGAGGTGGTGAGTGTCGATTCTCTCTTCACGGGCCTTTTCCAAGATTTGGCGCATGGTGAATATCTGGTCGGTTGTTGATTTTCTAGGTCTGAAGCCACACTCATAAGGTCCAATCAGTTTGTTGACGGTGGGCTTTAATCTTTCACACAATCGCTCGATAAAACCTTATATGTAATGTTGAGGAGGTAGGTGGCGCAAATTGTAGGGTCTCCTGTTTTTTGGATTGGGCATAGTACACTTAAATTGAAATCGTTGGGCATGCTTTCGTCCGACCATACTTTACAAAGAAGCTGATGCATGCTCCTTATCAGTTCTTCGCCACCGTGTTTGAACAGCTCGACCGGCAATACATCGATCCCCGCCGCTTTGTAGTTTTTCAGGCGGGTAATTGCTATTCGAAGTTCTTCCTGGTCGGTGCTCCATCGTCATCGATTGAGGAATCGGGTTCGCCTTCTTCTGTCGTTGTGCGTTCACTGCCATTCAGCAGGCTGGAGAAGTGTTCCCTCCATGATTTAAGTATGCTCTGGGCATCGGTGACTAGATCACCTTTGGGGGTTCTAAAAGAGTATCACAGAAATATTGGTTTGATTAATAAATAACTAATATTTTAATTGTTGTTCTTGATTTATTAAAAATTATGTCTATTGATTAGTATTTATCTCGTAATGTGAAATGATTAAAGTAGATTAGGCCTTTTTTTTCATATCATACCGATATATCGATACTTTTATATAAAAATATCAATATTGATATATTCAAAAATTACCGATACTTTATTCCATTTCCGACATTACTAGTTCTACACAGCACTGCTCAGATGGGTTACCAAAAACTGCATGCGTACGATGACCTAGAGGTGATGCCTCGGAGGCGGAAAATACTGACATCGGTTCCGGCGGCGGGTCAGGAAGGTTTGACGGCACAATAAATGGTAGAAAGAGTGGATGGAACTAGTGTAAAATGGCAACTGAGGGAGAGCAAATCACCAACTGAAGCAAGGGCCCTAATATTGGAAAGTGTAGAAGGGATAACATTCCGCTAGGAGAACTGAGGCATATTATTCCAAATGCACCTGAGAAAAACAAGGTCTATATAAGCAATCGTTAAAGGCGCAAACATTTTAGGGCGGTATTTTGATAACTTTTCTCTACATATTTTTTATTTAAATAAAATAATTTACAACATGTCTTCATTTATATCATATGTATATAAGAAGATCTGATTCCGCGSCTTCGCTCGCGTGTTATTTGGAACTGGGCGTTGTTGTCAAAGATATCATGCGCTTATCTCAAATTCTGTTGGATTTGTAATGAAAGTCTGTTCATTCGTTCGTTGTGTGTTCAAAAACCGCCTGGTTCACGAACAATAATCAGTATAATTCATAAGCATATGTGTATAAACAAATATTACTGAAATTTTGTTGGGTGTTTTTTTAAGTAAAAAATTATTCAAATAATTCTTCCATGAACATTCAACACAGCTTAGTTTGAAATATAATTTTATATATCGTCGGCTTAAGGTGCTAAGTGCCATTTTTGAATTAATAAATAATAAAAAAAAACTGAATAAAAATTTAAGTTCAAAATTTTTGTTTTATTTTTCTAACACAGTTTTGTCAACTGTTATATTTCATTTAAGTACCAAAAAAAATATATAATAAAAAATTTAATGAGCGCCTGTATATAGGCCTTTTTTGGACTTAGCACATTTTCGAAAAAGAAATATTGCCGTTTTTTTGCAAATTTTTATCACAAAAAAATATTATACAGTCTTACTTCGTTGCTGTCGTTTAAAGGAATACATAAGTACTTAAATGGAAAATCTTTGTTTAAGTCTTAAACTTTAAGGTACCACAAAAAGTTAATATATCAGTTCAGTCTTAATTCATTGCTGTTTGGAAATTATAAATTAAGCGATATTCTGCTGCTACATTAACAATTCGGTGTTTAATAACACTCTCGATAACTGAATGTACGCTGTCAGCTTTCATTTGGGTGTGCCCCGTTTCTAGTATTTTTTGCTCAATTATTACGCCATGTTTAATAGATGTATTGAGCAATGCGTTACTCATAGAAACATTCCTATTCTGGTACATACATCCATCAAAATAAAGAACAATTTTCGTAGCAGCTGCATTCTCGGTAAGATTTGGAATTATTTTATTCTCGATGAAGTACACCCAATGTTAGCAAATCCTTCGGCAGATAATCCACCTTCTACTTCGTTCCATATGAAGCAATAAGCATCATGATTTATCAAATTGTAAAACACCAAATYGTGGACTTGCAACTTCGTGCGGTAATAAAGGCTGCTTACTTGGGATTTTGGTGCCATTAAGACCGCTTGCAGATCAATAGTAAACACGAAGGTTTCTTCGATTTTGTCCTTTTCTTTCTCTTCCCTAGCTTYATGTTTTTTTGCCTGGTGAAGATTGTAGACGTCATCCAAAATATCTCCCACAGTATGTCGCGCACAGATTTCACACTGATCTTTTTTAGGGAAGAATAGACCAAGCTTTTGATCMGCAAAGGCGTTATAAAATGCTGAAATAGAGAGTGGTGGTTTTCCATGTACATTACACCAATCCTCTACGTAAAATTCGAAGAGTTGTCCTTTTGACGACCATTCTGGTAAAAGTTTTTGTTTTTTTGAGTTGTTGCACGGCAGTAATGTGATTCCGTGGTTGGCAGAGAATTGAAAAACGAATTTAGAGATTCCGTGCAATGCTACAATTTTGTTGTGGTGCGTTCTCTGTAGTGTTTCTTGAAATCGTAGGCTGCTTAACCCAATTTAGCACCGTACGTCTGCCAATAGTAAGAGTGTTCAAGAAGAATTTTCTGCAAACTTTAACTCGACTTTTACATGGTTTTGAAATGTTAGACTCCTTCAGCTCTTGTGTTTATCTTTGCAATTTCGCATTCTTGCAGGAGTTGTTACCTAAATTAATATATTGTCTTTGGTCTTCAGTAATTTTTGCACAGTGGAGAGCAGCAGAACTAGTGGCTTTTTTACAGCTACATCGCTCTCCAATGACTTTTGCATTTCTAACTCTTCGATGATTCCACAGGCCATTCCCTTTCGGTAAATTCAGCCTCCACGAGGAAACATCCCCAAATGGGCTGAGGCTGCTTGACTTCGCCGGGGACGGAAATATGGTTATTTGAAGTACTAGATTCCAACATAAGAAAATACATCAAGCTGCCTGGCTGTCTCCGGATCGAAACACCACCAACCAGATGGATCATGTTATGATAGATGGAAGACACGACTCCAGTGTTCTGCGCAGCAAACAACGCACGTCAACAAATACAAGGAAGGTTCGACGTCGAGAAGCTGCAATTACAACAGAGAGCCGAACAATTTTCTACTCGGCTTGCACTCCTGGTCTGAGAGCAGTCGTCAACAAATCGGTATAAGAGAATTGTGGGACGGCATTTCAAGCTCCTTACGTACAGCTGCCACCGAAACCATTGGTTTTCGGAAAATGCAAAGAATAGCTGGTACAACGAGGAGTGCCGTGTCACAGCGAAGAGAAACAAGATTACTTACCCCGCAACTTAACGATCGACCACAACACGTAGAGGATTGGATAGGTACCGAAAGTTGAAGGGGGAGGCAAGACGCATTTGCAGGCAGAAAAAGAGAGAGACCGAAATACGTGAGTACGAAAAGCTTGACAAGCTGTCCGACAAGGGTAATGCTAGAAAATTCTACGAAAAGGTTCGGCGACAAACAGGTTTCAAGGCCGCATACTCTTGTAGAACTCAAAGAGATGATCTAGTAACGCAGAGGTGGGCATATTCGCTTTCAGTGGCATTTTGCACCGTTCGTGCACATTTTGACATGACGGGATCATTTCAGCTGCTTTCTAAATGCATTCTTTAATGAAATATCCATCGAAAAATTAGTGGTTACTTAAAACCATTTTAAGTGTAATCGGATAACTAACATGGATTGCACCGTTACTTTTAAGAGAACACTCCTAAAAGTGCAAATTCCAGGTAATACCATATTTGGAACAACTTAATAACTAACAAACTTCTGCTTAAATGTTGTCATAAGTTAATAAAAAATCGGTACGGGATTCACCTGTATACCGATGATATTCTTCGTGTTGCGTTCCGGATCGGATAAAGTAGAAAACAGATCGAGAAGAGTTGTAATTGGAAAATCTCAAGTCACTATTGGTAGCGATGATAATACACCAAAAAGAATGCGAGAGGCATCAGGCTTTTTACCACCCACAAAAAAATTTTTGTTTCATTTTATCTTTATTAAAGTTTATACGAACACACCAGCCCGATTTGCAAAAATAAAAAAACACTTCTTTTATCTTATTATTTAAACTTTTATTCTTCACAACCGCACGCTCTCGTTTTCTACAAGTAAGTAAGCTGGGTACGCATGTGCATACAAATATAAAGTAAAAACGTTCTTGTGCAGAGAGGAAGAGAACAAAGAGAAGAGAGAGCTTTGCCTCTCTCTGTGATCTTCATTGTTCATCCCTTCTTCATTGGTCATCCCCCTTCCACACACACAAAATGTGTATGTGTACAAGTGTGACTTTTGGTATTCTCAACAAAAATAAAAAAATAAAAAACGTAGCTGAAAACTATAGCTGAATCTAAGCCATTGCGCAGCAGCACAAGATTTGCTAGGCCAGACATTCATAGAATAGTACATTGACGTCGCCATCATCCGGAAAGTGGATTGCAGACAAATCTGGCATGGCAGCAATATGGTCCTGTAAAGGGCAACCTTTCAAGACCTACTGCAGAGAGAAACATAGTTGCTTCACATCGGCGAATATTCAGGGGATTTATTTTGTAGGTTGCTCTGCTCGTCCCAGCGCAGCAATCACAGAATTCGAAGATTTCCTTTTAATAGCGCAAACAGCCAAAAACGTAGACCCGTGGCCCGTGTCAGCTGATAGGACCTCTCTTATGGGCGCGCAATGTAAGTGAACAGCGAAAAAGGCTACTCCCTTTTGTCTTTGCAGTAGGAATCCATGGTCTTTGGATTTTTGCCGTAGGAGCGTGTTAGCTGATTGCTCTCTCACAACGCAGGGTCGCAAATCTCGATATGCTGTAGTAATTATATAAGTTGTTTTCAATATGTTTGAAATTTTCTTAAAATAACTCAAAATCAGTGTCGAATTTGTAAATATAATAATAAACTATTTTTAATAGTTTGTTTTCAGTTTTGAGATTTAATATTACGAAAAATTGTAATTGAAAACTTAGATGTGTACAAAACTATATATGCGCACTGAACAATGGCAAAAAATTAAAACAAACAAAGATGGCAGATTTTACCACGGGCTCAACTTTTTACACACTTTTCTAGCTCAGGAAGGCAAAGGAACAAAGGGTGGCGCTTGTTTGTCTGTTTCAGCAGATGTGCAAATCACTGCGGTCGGCTAATTCATGAATATCTGAGTCAAACGCAATTAACAATAATGAACACCGGAACTCGAAATACTTACCAAAAAGGCAATAAAGGATCCATAATTGACATTATGTTTGCAAACGATTCGCTGAACAGGAACATTATGTGGGCGATATCTGACATATACACAAACAGTGATCATATGACAATTCTTCTTCTTAACTGGCGTAGATACCACTTACGCGATTATAGCCGAGTTAACAACAGCGCGCCAGACGTTTCTTCTTTTAGCTAGGCGGCGCTAATTGGATATTCCAAGCGTAGCTAGGTCCCTCTCCATTTGGTCCTTCCAAAGGAGTGGATGTCTTCCTCTTCTACTTTTTCCCCCGGCGGGTACAGCGTCGAATACTTTCAGAGCTGGAGTGTTTTCGTCCATTCGGGTAACATGACCTGGCCAGCGCAGCCGCTGTATTTTAATTTGCTGAACTATGTCAATGTCGTCATATATCTCGTACAGCTCATCGTTCCATCGAAAGCGATATTCAGCGGGGCCAACGCGAAAAGGACCATAAATCTTTCGCAGAACTTTTCTCTCGAAAACTCGCAACGCCGACTCATCCGATGTTGTCATCGTCCAAGCCTCTGCTCCATATAGCAGGACGGGTATTATGAGTGACTTATAGAGTTTGGTTTATGTTTTTCGAGAGAGGACTTCCTTCTCAATTGCCTACTCAGTCCGAAGTAGTACCTGTTGGCAAGAGTTATCCTGCGTTGTATTTCTAGGCTGACATTGTTGGTGGTGTTTACGCTGGTTCCAAGATAGACGATATTATCTACAACTTCAAAGCTATGACTGTCAACAGTGACGGAGTGCCAAGTCGCGAGTGCGACGACTGTTTGTTTGACGACAGGAGATTTTGATATCAATATCATCGGCATACGCCAACAGCTGTACACTCTTATAGAAGATGGTACTTTCTCTATTTAGTTCTGCAGCTCGAACTATTTTCTCCAGAAGCAGGTTGCACGATAAGGAATCGTCTTGTCTGAAACCTCGTTTGGTATGGAACGGCTCGGAGAGGTCCTTTCCGATTCTGACGGAGCTTTTGGTGCTGCTCAATGTCAGTTTAGACAGTCGTATTAGTTTTGCAGGGATAAAAAATTCGGATATGGCGGCATAAAGGCAGCTCCTTTTCGTGCTGTCAAAAGCAGCTTCGATTCTCCTTTCACGGGTTTTTCCAAGATTTGGCGCATGGTGAATATCTGGTCGGTTGTTGATTTTCCAGGTCTGAGGCCACTCTGATAAGGTCCAATCAGTTTGTTGACGGTGGGCTTTAATCCTTCACACAATACGCTCGATAGAACGTTATATGTAATTTTGAGGATGCTTATCCGCTGGGCATGCTTTTGTCCGACTATATTTAACAAAGAAGCTGATGCATGCTCCTTATCAGTTTTTCGCCACCGTGTTTGAATAGCTCGGCCGGCAATCCATCGGACCCCGCCGTTTTGTTGTTCTTCAGGCGGATAATTGCTATTCGAACTTCGGGTGCGAATCTTGGCTGCAACAAGATAGTGGTCCGAGTCGATGTTAGGACCTCGGAGCGCACGCACATCTAAAACACTGGAGACGTGTCTTCCGCCTATCACAACATGATCGATCTAGTTGATGGTTTTTCGATCCGGAGACAGCCAGGTAGCTTGATGTATCTTTTTTTGCTGGAATCTAGTACTACAGATAACCATATTTCGGGCCCCGGCGAAGTCGATCAGCCTCTACCCATTTGGGGATGTTTCCTCGTGGAGGCTGAATTTACTGACCGTAGAGTCAAAGATACCTTCTTTGCCCACCCTGGCGTTAAAGTCGCCAAGCACGATTTTGACATCGTGGCGGAACAGCTCACATAAGTGCTTTCCAAGCACTCAAAAAAGGCTTCTTTGTTCACATCGTCCTTCTCTTTCGTCGGGGCGTGGGCGCAAATCAGAGTTATGTTGAAGAACATCGCTTTGATGCGGATTGTGGCTAGACGCTCATTCACCGGAGTGAATGCTAGTACTCGGTGACGGAGTCTCTCTCCACCACTAATCCCACACTAAACTTGCGCTCCTTTATATGGCCGCTGTAGTAAATGCTACAAGGATCTACTCGTCTCAGCCCTTGTCAAGTCCATCGCATTTCGTGAGCAGCGGTGATGTCAGCCTTTATTTTTACGAGGACATCAACCAGCTGGCCTTCCCACTTTAGCTCGCCTTCAAACGGATGTTCTTAGGCTACCCAGAGGATACTTGGTCAAGGACCGGAAGTCGTGAGCTGCTTGAGTCATATGTAAAAGAATCGTTTGTGGCCACTCCCAAGTGAATGGCGATCAGAGAACTTCCTCACTTGCGTGAACTTCGCGCAATAAAGGAGACTAAAACGTCTTCTCCCTTCCTCGATATAATACTTAGCCGGTGGTTCCATGAGAGAGTCTTGAGTTGGGAGTAGGTTAGGTTTAGCGGATTACAATTCCGTACTTCGGCTTTCGAATCTTCCCTCTGCTATAAAAAAACGCTAGAATACACATTGCGTACATCAACATTCTTTTTTTTATACATTCGATCTAAAGGAGTTACGGCACCTCCTTCGATCTCCCAGCGGTCCGGTTGCAAATTACATCCACCCCGCTCCCTACATTCGTATTTCAAACCTAACTTTATATTTTTTACAATTAATAATTAATCCATTAATCCCAAATTTGGGCTGCAATTATACATGGTCCTTCCCGCCATAGTGACAGACACTATGGAATTTTAAGGAAATAAATGCAACTAATTTTTGCGATCAACTAATCACATATCCAAAAAACCACAATAATAACTGGGTGGTAACTATAAAAGTTCTGACTATAAAAAGAACAACACATGTATAAAGAAAAAATAATAATATTTCAACATCTAACGGGACTAACGCGAATACCCAATGTGACCTAGACCCGCGGCTTCTCGATCACCAGCATCGGAAAATCTTTCTCGAAAGTGGAGTCTCATCGCCTATCCCATCCCCATTAAATGATTGTACATTTTAACCCGTGTGCATTTTTATTAAAGAATCGTTAAAGTGGTTAGAAGTTTTCTGTGCACATTTAAGTAGCAAATTATTCATGGTCCTTCGAGCCATTCCGAATGGCACTATTACATTCGTCCAAGAAAACAAAATATACATTAAAATCGTGATGACAAAATTAAAAAAAATGGTAAAACAAACTACACACAAAAATAAAACAAAAACCGGAGTATTGCGGTGAAGTGATAAAACTAATAACTAATAACTTTACATACATTTGTAACATATACAACAAATAGACAAAAAACAAAAAAGTGCAGTGGAACAAAACAAAAAAAAAATCGTAAATATAACAAAAACAAAGAGTCAAAAGAGCAAATGTGCAAAAACCAAAACTGCAGTGACAAAAACAAAATATACAAAACTTTACAAACACAAAAAAACCTAAATTGGCCGCGAAAAATGAAAGTAATAAAACAAACATAAAAACAACAGAGAGAATATCGGGCGCGTAACCTTAAAGCACAACAACGCACAAAACGTGTTAAACACAAAATAAAATATATAACAAATTAAGCGGGCGCGAATCTAAAACAACATAAAAAAAAATTTCAAAAAACAAAAAACGCTAAACCAAAGACAACCAACTGGAAGCGGTGGAAAAAGAGTTGACATCAGAAGCCCGAATACAAACAAACAACATTGCATGTCAAACCAGCGGGAAACGGTTCGGAGAGGAGCACATACATATATGCATCTACAAAGCCCTTGAAGTTATCAAGTGAGCGTATCAAGTCCTTTAATATATAATATGTACACATATCTTCTTCTTCTTGATTGGCGTAGACACCGCTTACGCGATTATAGCCGAGTTAACAACAGCGCGCCAGTCGTTTCTTCTTTTCGCTACGTGGCGCAAGTTAG